AGGAGGAGCCACAAATGACGAATACAGGCACGATTTAAAGTGAATTATATTGACTGGAAGATCCAGGTTCGAGTCCTGGTCTTGACAGAATATATTTTTCCCTGAAAATCGTCCTGAGCTAGTTATGGAGTAGTCTATATATGTTTAATTGGATAAAGTGGAGGTGCACACCTAGAAAGGAACTTCTTCCAATTCTTTCATAAATAAATAAATACACTTTTATAATTTAAAGTAACTGATTACCAAGTGGCTACTTGATTTTAATTGTCTAAAACGAAAAAATCCCGATAAATAAAATTTTTTCTAGAATGTTTTATTATCAAAACAAAACAGGTCACTACGTTTTTTTCAAGCTATTATTACTGAAAAATATTACTAGTTTTTATTTTGTTTTGCTAGTAAAAATTACTATAAAATTCTCTTCGTGTAGTTTAAATAAATGTGATCAAGTAGAATCACAAAACTTTAATAAAAAAAAGTCGTCTTACTGAGTTCAAGTTAGATGAGAGACACAATATTCAGATAAAAAAAGCTTTAGTTCAAATCTACAAAACTCATACATCTACTAATTTTGCCGGTAGACTTAGAAGAATAAAATCAGTACTTAGGGTGATTTATTTATATAGAATTAAAAGCCTGGTTCAATCCTCAATTCGTCACGAATGTCCCTTTTTTCCTTGCAAAGATTCAAACTAGGTTTTTGAAACACTGTTAAGCATCTACAAGTTCAGTGCATAGGAAACTGAAATCCTGGTTCAAACCTGATAGGTCTGATGTTTAAAAAAATTCGAAATTCACAAATTGATAATTTATAGATATTAATCAACAATTACTATAGTAGTCATTTTGTTTGAAAACATTAAAAAATACCTTTTATAATGGCTTTTTCCATTTATTTTTTAATAAATTTCAATATGAAGACAATTGTTAATTACGTTGAAAATAAATTATTTTATTCTTTATTTGTGGTACTCTTTACTTTTTTAGCATTACCTTTTTTCTTTTTCCTTAGATTCCCTGAATAATTTATTTATATATTTAATATAATCTGATTTCTTGATTTGATCATCTTCAGAAAAATACGCATTTAACCATTCTGTAAACAAACCATAGAGAGCTTCGAATAATTCAGGGTCAATTCTGGGTCGATCACCAACTTTTCCGAGTGCACAATAATTTTGAAGTTTTTTACCATATATTTCCATCAGAGTAAGTTTGACTGTATATTTCCAATCTAGTGATGACTGAGTCTTACTTTTCTTAATAATGTATGCTGCTGTATCAGATGATAGATATATTTCGTGGTTGGCACTAATTTTTGTATGTGTTTGCAAATTTGCAATAAAAAATTCTTCAGGCAACTAAATAACATGAAGTAAAAATAAATTATTGAATAATTAAACTTGGTAAAACATATGTTTTATAAGAATTCCACCATTTTATGATTATAATTGATACGTCTTTTCGATTTTGCACGATTGAATTAATATTTTTATTTTTAGATGAGAAAATATACACGGAGAAAAAATTCCAATAAAAATTACCGTGCTCAGCACAACAATCCACGCGCAAATGTCAATTCCCTAAAAAATTAAGACAACCTTCAAAGAAAAATTAGTAATCCTTTTAAAATTTTTATTATAGATTCAATATTTATTAAGAAGAGTAAAAGTAAAAATTCTTATGCAGCACGGTAATATTCGATAAATATTAATTTTTATTCAAACTTTAAACAAAAATTAGTAAGTGACTAGAAAAAAATGAGAATCTGTATATAATTTATTATGATCCGTGTGGTAGGAAAAATTCGGGTGCTCTCCTATAATTTTTTCTATTCTCGAGAGTTTCCGTGCTGGGTCGGGAATCTTCGAATTATCGGTCCAACACAATCTTTCTTTGTATTGTAAGACCGTTCACACAATCAAAAATATAAGCCGTAAAACGTACAATTTAAGACGTACGCGTGCATACTAACATCATAATAAGTTAAAAATTGGTTTGTACGCATGCGTACATCTTACGGCTTTTGTTTTTGATTGTGTGAACACCCTCAGTGCTATAGTTACTTTTTCCATATTGTAAACAAAGATGACATTCATATTTTTCGTTACGATTCAATATTGGCGGCAACACGTTATATCTTAACAATTTATGATAAGCTTAAACGGATTGACGCGGTGGACTCATGGGTAAGCGTCAGCTTGACACACGATGGGTCGCGGGTTCGAGTCCCGGCCGAGACAAAAGTCATTTATATGATTTTTCTCGGGCCACCGTGAGCGGGAGAGGAAGATCTCTTCGGAGAGCCGGGTGGTTGTATCGACGACACAGGTTTTCTGCGTAAGATCCCGATCGTAGGGATAGGGGGGGGCAGTATTGTAAAACGTGTGCCGTATTTCATTCCAACGAATTAATTAGTTAAGAAAGTTAATTATCAATGAACCTAATTTATTTATTTATTTGTTTATATAACCAAAAAAATTATCACTAAACTTAAATAAAATTGTTTGTCGGTTACGTAGTTATCACAGCTAACGTTACTAAATTTTCAGGTGCTGTGGAACACTAAATTTTCTGGTGCTGCCAAAGTAATTTTCAAAAAACTGAATGATACATTTTCTTATGTAACTTATAATTTTTGTATGTTGATCATTACTTTTTACTTTTCAGTAAGTTTGAACTCACATTCTTGAGCAGCACGGTAATTTTTGTATGGATTTTTAAATAAAAATTAACGGAATTTTTTCTCCGTGTAGAACTTAGAGACCTTAACCAGTATTCCAAAATATCTAAAGTACTGATTTAAGTCTTCTAAGTGTAAAAATAGACTTTGGAGATTTTAAAAAATAACAAAATGTTGGGTGGCATATTCATTATCAAAGGAATTGAGGCTTTGAAGATTCGAACCAGGTCCATTATTTCGACTCGGGATACTTCAATTTTTATAAAAAAAATTTAATTCAATGGTTCTGAGAATTTTTTTAGTTATTTTTATGTCTAATTAAGTTAATCATGCAAACAAATTCATGAGAATTGGACCACCTAGAAAATTCCATCATTTTTAATTGATTTATAATGAAAACTTTCCTTAAAATGGCTGAAATTTTAAACCTTCCTCAAAAATTTTTGGGTCATTAATGCCGAAAATCTCTTTTGAGGTTATTTATTACTAATGACGGTAAACTCGTACAAAAATTTTGGTCCAAATCGAAGGTGTCTCCTAATCAGAATTATATTCTTAAGATCTTATGTCTACAACATGGTCTAGATATTAAAGTTATTGATAGAACTAAAAGATCCTTAACATGTTTCACAGAATGTTGAATTCTTTCTTATGTCGTCGATGGATAAAAATACATATTTGGAAAACCATGTATTTTTCTTTAAATTTTTGAAAAGCTTATTTTTGTCAATACTTTGCAATCATCTTGCAGTATGCAAGCCGCAATGTTTGCGGCTAGAGGCGAGTCCAGACTATTGGAAAATATTGATAGGAGAGAAATATCGGAGAAATAGAAATTGAAGAATTAAATATGTTGTGAAAAAATCACAGCTTTTTCGTAGTGCTAAAAATATTGTTTATTAAAAACATTGATGTTCTTTTCAAAAATTCAAGATACAAAAAAAAATTTTAAAAACTACATTTTTTTTTTACCTGTTTATAATTTCAGGTTTTGTAAATCTGAAGATTCGCTTATAAGCAAATAAAGTATAAGGTAATATTTTTTAAATTAATTTTCAATAAATGTACATTCATATTTATACATTTTTTGTAAAATGTACATTTTGTTTTCAGAATTTTAAATACAATCTCATATTGGTGTTAAGTATTTTCTTATATTTTTACTTTTATTATTTTGCGTTTTTTAATAACGCAATTCTTAATAATATAAACATTCGGTTGATTACTATTCAGTTAATCCTCGTACCCACTCAGATTTTGCGTTAAAGAGAAAGAAAAAAGGATTATTGGCACGTCTTTTATTCGACTGAAAATTAGAGTTTTTAAACAGTTGGATTTTCTTACACTGAATCAGTAGAAATCACTGTAAATCAATGACTATTCACTGATTCGTTTAAAAAAACTACTTTTTAGTATGGGGATATTACGAAAATAAGTGCGGAATGTAGGGAAAGGATGGATAAAGTGGAACGCTCGAAAAAATGTACACATTTATTAAAATAAGTTTAAAAACGCTTCTTGCACTTTTTATTTATCAATTTTTCAATTTATTAATGCATTAAAAATGATTAAAAATTTTTAATATAATGGATAATTTGTTAATTTACATTTTGTCGTGGTGTTCCACTTTACCCTACCTTCCCCTACTACTGAAACAAATTAAAAAAATCTATTTTATTGAAACATAACTCTAATATTTAACTATCAATAATCATACAATAATTAAATAATTGATTCTAGAAAAAATCTAATTATAAAATACTTAACTTGATAAACTGCCAATAAAAACACAATTTCAATCATAATTAAAAATGTATTATTCCAAAAATTTACATAAACATCTTTTACATGTTTGATACACATCTAAAACATTTTCCCATACTTATGAGCTTTCTTTAACCGCATTTTTAATAATTCCACGATGTTTAACCGTCTCACAAATTAGATAAAAACATAAAGACATACCCTGGGGCAACAACAAGTTGACTTGGCTCAAGCACTGCAGTCTCTTCGCTATGATAATCGTTATGGAAAGTCAATGTAGGGATAATATAGGACATTAAGGAAAATGTTGTGTATAGGTAAGTCTCAGTTATGTTTAGTAGGACACATTGTACCACTCTGCAGATTCTAACCTGTAGACTTCTTCTGTCGACTTTTTTCGTATCGAAAGGAGAGAAGACTAGAAGATGGTCCCCGTGGAAGAATTAGTGGGGGACAACCAGGAGCTGATGCACGCGCTCGTACTCAACTGCGGGGAGACGGGACTGTGAAAGACCACAGTATTTGTAATCAAAGAGACTATTCGCCGCATGGAAGAAAGTCGGTCTACCGGTGGGCCACCAGTTCACCGACGTGCGTTCTTCTGAATGGATGTCCATTCTCGCGTATGTTTCAACTTATTCGAGTGAATTATATTCATTCTCATGATTTATCTTGTTTATTTTGCCACTGTTTTGGAAACTATACATATTTGTTGGGAAATATTGGAATACTGAGCCACTGTGAGGACATTTCTTTTGCAAAAAACCACCAGATGTGAAGTTGACATTTAAATTACTGGTAAGTTTATTTATTATTTTCTTTTAAATAATTATACGAGTATTTTGTTGCTATAATTCTTTTTTTTAATAGGAAAAATAAAATATAAAAATGATCTTGTGAATGACAGTGATAATTTATGGCTTCGATAAACGTCATCGGTATTGTTGCATGATCTTCCTGACGAGATCACGTATTAGCTTGACACGTTAGGTAAAAATGTGCATAACTTTTAAACGGATATTTTTTTTTATACTTATTGATTCGTTTACCCGCTGTTTTCTGCATACATTTTTTTAATGTTTCAGTAACGGTAAATACACAAGTCATATTAACATATTTGAATGATGCAAATGGTATAAAAGTTTATTATTAAACACAAGTCAATGATGTGAGTTATTTATTTATTTATAACTAGATATTTTTATGTAATTAATAGTAACTTTTCCTTTAAATATTAAAATTAATTTTTATTCTTGTTTCAATTTAATTAAAAAAGTATTTTCATTCATATTTACATTTTATATTAATATTAAAACTGTTCATTATTTAATTCTAAAAAATGAATGATGGATTAAAATGTTTTCATTAATAATATTATTCATTGAAATTTATTTCGAATAATAAATTCGTTCTCATTTATTTTTTATTTTTATGTTAAATAAATAAATAAATTTTTTTTTCTACAGTAAAATCAATTTTATTACAACAAAATATTAAAAAATTAATTGTTTTTTAGTATATTCATTACTGGATGTTTTGTAAACCGATTAAATAGATTTTAAGGTCGTTCGACACCTTTAACGAGAACTCATGAGATTGCATGAAGTAGAGGTCAACGGGATATTAATGAACTGCAATCACAATAATATTCTTTTTCTCTTCGTGAGACATAAATAGTTAATTAAAATAAAGGTGCAAACTTTAAACGAAATTATATACACATCAACATTCCTCAAGACTCCATGACCAATTCGTTAATTCTTTCCTTCTCGAATATGTGAGATTACAGTTGCAATCAATCTCAATAAGGTGAAAGTTTTAGAGCAGAAACAAGTGGACTCGATCGAATCCTATCGGTTCAAACATTTCAGTCAACGTATAAATTGTTTATGACATGTACAAATACATGTCACATAACATAAATCAATTAAATTAATAGAAATTCAAGTCAGTGTTTTTATTTTATTTCAAAAATTTTTTTATTTATAAATAAATATAGTTTCTATGATAGTTTGTTGGCGAGAAATCGGTATATGCTAAATAGAACGCGCTATCAAAAGCTTCGAAGCGCGTCAGAGAGCGTATCGTCATTACATAACTTCTTATTGTATCGTTCGCGAGAGTATTCAATACACACTTTTATTGGTGGGAAAATACCACAAATTTGTGGACAAATGAATATGTAATAACAATCAACTAAGATTTTAGCTCAAAATTAGAACGGATGTACAGTCGTGAGAATTGATTATTTCATCCTTCAATTCAACTTTGACAAAATTTTAAATGTGCGTACACACCTTTCACCAATGTAATGCAATGTTTAAAAGTTTACGCTATGAATGAGTTTATATGTTCTTTAATTAAAGTTATATCAAAATCATTACATAATAGACATACTGAAGAATGTTTGTAACAGTGAGGAAATTTAATTGAAAATTATTTTGCTGGATTGATTCAATGTTTTAGAAGAATTAGTTCATTTGAGATGCGGAATGATTTTCAAGGTTTTAATCAAAAGTAAATTAGAGTGACCTTGATATAGGTCAAAGAATATCAATTTAATGCGAATTGCTTAAAAAATGACTAAAAATTAATTTTAAATTTTATTTTAGAGCAATAAAATTGATTTTATTTCATATCACATTGCGAGTTATTATCTATTATTAAATTTCATGATCACGACCTAAGTAGTTCCTATTTTTTGATTGACTATTAAAAATGAGAAAGGAATAATTAGAATTAATGTATTGATATAGTCCAGTCAATACGTTTCGACAAGTGTGGAGATTAAAAATTCATTGAGACAAATTGATTGTAATTAGCACTTTTTGCTTTCTATCTCCAAAAGTCATGACATTTAATTAATGCTAATTTGTATTCTGATTAAAAGAAAACAAATCTTAAAAAAGTTTATTTGTTCATAAACTATTGTTAATTATTTAGTATCTTAATTAAAAATAAATAATGACATGATTTTGCTCATTGAATAGCTGACAGACTTGGATTACTCCTTATTACTGTAATGCTCCAAAAAATATTCTGCATATATTTGTATATTTTTTCGAGTTTGAAAAGAAACTTTTTTGAATTAATTATTTAATTTTCAAACTTCGAATTAAATATATGAAGTAATTAACCTATTTCGCAATTTTTAACAGAAAAATCAAAATTTCCATGAATTATCACTGATGTAAAGAAATATTTGTAGAGTAAATTCTTCAGATTTAGAACAAGGAAACATCTTACAGATTGTATAACTTTTTTCTAGCGAATAAAGTTTCAAGTCTTAATTTAGATTCGTTGATAAAAAAAAATTATGTTAACTGTTTCATAAAATATATATTTGCATCATTCTATCCTTGTAAATAATTAGTTATATTATAGTTGTAACGATGAAAACATCAATAATATAATATTGTCCATGAAATTTTATAATGATATATATTTTTCATTCATTAAAAAATTTTAATTAAAACTAATTTATAAGTAGTCTATCATAGTATAGATGTATTTGATTATAATTTAATTATATAGTAATACCTAAAGTAATAAGAATTGCAGAAGAATAAAACAATACACTTGTTAACTCACAATATTGAAATTTATTTCAATTTTCTCAGTAAAATATTTAAGATGTTTTTTATTGGTAAATTTTTTTAATACATCTGGAGAAATTATTTTTAAATTTTTTTTAGCTTATTTATAAAAATACTTACAAGGGAATAAATTATTGAGCTCAATGGATAGATAATTAGTAACGAAATGCATTCTTTATCGACTAAAATACAATGTTAAATAGTCAAGAAAATTAACTCCAGTCGATGGAATCGAACACAATTTCCAAGATGATCCAGCACATTTATTCCATTGATCGGTCAACTAAATTTTTAGAATAATTCAAGAAGTAAACTAGACCAATCATCAACTGATGGTAAATAAAGATTGCATTCAAGTTAGTTGCTCCAACGGCACCTCACATTGCACTGATTACAAAGTGAGCTCTCTGCTACGATGTAGCGGATATTGAGGACGATCAGACTACTCATAATATGTGTCATAAAGTTATAATAATTTTCATCTTTTACCAATTTTTTAAATTGCTTTTTTTATAAACCAATAAATTTTCGCATTAAACTGAATAATTTTATGCCATGAACATCATCAACACATCAATTTTTTTCTATTCATTCAATAAATTATTTAATTATTAAATCAGTAGCTAATTTTTAGACTTAGATACTTATGATATCAATAAGTAGTCATCATAATGACAGAGTTTTTTAAGATAATTTTAATGAGTAAATATTTTTTCTAGTAATTCAGATTTTCTTGAAGTGAATTTATCATGATTTACTGAAGGAAATAAACTTAATAATGTGTAAATCAACTTACTGTAAATGCAGTTAACTTTTTCATTTCTTAGATGACTGAAATAATTTGTTCCTTATTTAGAAATAAAGTTAATTCAACTTACACAATATTTTTTAAGTAAGCAGCTTTATTGGTGCAAAGTTCTTTTACATTGGAAATACGTACATACTCGGTCACTTAGCCTGAGGCTATAAATTCCGTTACTCGATTGCTTATATTTAATTCATCTCCATTTCTCCTTGGACGTAAGATCTCACATGGAGTTGAATTAAAAAATATTTAAATATTTCCAGAAAATCGTCTTTTTTGTTGAGGAGTTGATTCACCTATTTGCGTGGGAAAACTTGTTTTTATTCTTCCCTTTCTCGAAAATTCATAGAAAATGTGTGTGGCTTACTTATATTAATCCTACCTTAAAACGTTAACATTTGACCTACCGTTATTGATGATTAACTTCGACATATGGTAATATTAAAATGTGCTGGTTGGTCATGATTGTTGGAAAGTTAGAGATAACTTTTGTTTATTTACATATTGTTTAGGATATTTTCACCTTTGAGATGAATGTTTGTCATGATGAATGAATTATTAATTTTTAATCTTTTTTCATTAGTGAAACACGTTACTAATATTAATAGATTGTTTTATTGAATAGGCACCATTAGTTAATTAAAGAATGATCCGTGAATTTAATTATTAATTGGATTATTTAACTATAGATAATGGTAATTATTCGGAAGTGGGGTCCACCCTATTTTTAGCTATAAAAGCTAGATAATTTTAAACAAACATAAATCAAAAGAATCTAAAATATTTTTAACTAATTAAATATTTAATAGTGATTATTTAATTAATTCGTTGATTAATATTATGAATTTTTTCAAAATACGATGCTCCTGTCATCAATAGAATGAAATTGAAATAAAACTAAGTCATCGATTATTAAAAAAAAAATAAATAAAAAAAAATGCAGGATTACACATTTGCGTAATGAGATAATGCTTATTTTTCACTTGTATTATTTAATTTTAAAAACTTACACACTGCAGATAATTATAAAAAAACGAAATAACTACTTGTTAAGCAATTTCAAAGAGAAACTTCGAAAAACAGCAGTAATTATCGATAATTTTATAAAGAAAAACTACGGAATTACACATTTTTTATTGAAAATATAGATTTAATCTAAAAATTTATTTGAAAATTAAATATTAATTTTAAAAAATTGATAAAGAGAATATTTTTCAAAACATTATTGAGCATTTGACATGAAATAATAGCTACTTAAAAATTTATTTAACCTTACTTTAAAACAAATACTTGATAAATAAAATATTCACCAACTATAGTTAATAATTAATTAGCAAAAATTAAATATATTTTATGGAATCTTTTGTAATATAAAATAAATAATATTTCTTTACTTT